TATTTATTCATTACACAATTGGCTTAAAAAGCAATTAAATTATAAAATATATGTTATAGCAGAGATTTATCCAATACACAGAAATATATACTTAAAATCAGGAGACTTTAGCTCTGAAGATGTAAAAGATATAAGTTAATAACAGATTTCATTAGGGCCTTTAGTCTATAACAAAAAACGGGAGTAATTATCCATTATTAGGAACCTATTTCATATGCACGTAGTATATACGGACCTATAACTAAAATTTAAAAACTCTAGCTGTTATAACTTTCGAGATCGACACGTTCAAGGAGAGAAATATGAATATATAATTAAAATGAAATTTATAAGTTGCTTCACACTTTCTTTTCCGCCGTACAGAGCATCTGTTGGCCAAGTATACTAGACTCAAACTTGACAGATTCATTTATTCAAGGGCTCGCCAAAGCGAGGCTCTACTGTATGTGACCTACTAGCCAAACGGCCAGCTAGCTAGAATATTGCAACGTCTGAAAGGGTTGCTTAGTCTTTTGGCCCATTGTCTACTTTGTATTCGTTTTTAAGTGCACGGAAATTGCTTATTTTATGGCCGAGTATATCCGCTGGCTGTGCAGCGCATCTGGGAGCTGCCCCGATCGCAACTGCGCGCAACAGCTGCGCCGATTCCCGCTGGGGGCCCGCTGGCTGCCTTTTCCAAAATGGCCGCCGCGTGGACACTGGCGACGTCCGAGCGGCAACTAAATGCACCAATCGCATTATGGCCGTCCAGCGTTTTGACCTCCCCAAATTGGCAATCGGCAATTGCCAATCGACAATCGACAATTGGCAACTGGCAACTGGCAATTGGCAATTGGCAGTGGCCGCTGCATGCTTCAATGTCATGATGGTCGACTGATCGATCGATCGATCGTTCGTTGGTTCGTTGGTTCGTTCGCTCGCTCGTTCATTTCGTTTGGTTGGCTCAGTCGACGGATCGATTACTCGACTGCTGCTCACCCCGGGGGCGCTTTGGCCCACGTTTTGCAGACATTTTGCCGCGCACTACTTAAAGTAATTTCGTCCGCTGGGTCCGCTGGGGCGACTGGGCCGTCGCAATTGTTTTTGGTGGATGCTTCACGTTGCCATCGCCACTGCCATCGCCATCGTCGTTGTCTAAATAAAATGCATTTTCTTTGCACGTCCACTGGGCACCCTTGTGTCCTGCGGGGGGCTCTGCAGCATTTGTGGCTCTTTGTCTGCCATATAATTTGCACAAATTGCAATTTAGAGAAATAAAGGAAAACGAAACAGCAAACAAAACAACAGAAATTGAGAAAAATACAAAAATTATTTGTTATTTTTTTAGTTATAAAATGCGCTACGTTTTAGAGGCATTTGAAACTTCAAGCATCGTTTGACGCAACTCAAATTAAATCTAAATTACCTTTGAAATTTCATATAAAGTTGATATGAATGAGCTGTGAAAAATACATATATACAATATATGAATGTAAATCATGAGTGTTAATAATAATAGACTTTAAATCCAATAATATTAACGAAGTGAACGAAGTGTAGAGCACAATAGAAATCAGAATTTTCTTATGAGACAATCAAATGTTAGATTAGATTTGATTAATTTGGATTAGAGAGCTAATAGTCATAGAAGATCATTTTGTTTCAGATTAGGTAATCTTAAGCCAATTTGAAATAACTCCAACACTAATTAATTTGAAAGAATCGATAAATCAATAATAGATTTCATTTAGACATTTAAATCTGCATAGTAAATGCAACTCTAAGCTGAAGTCTTCCTAAATATTTTTCAAAACGTTATAAAGTTTCTCTAATATTCGAAGTTCCTCATTAACTTGTCCCAACTGCTGTAGGGTCACTCGCTGGCCCGTCTAGCCGCATGGAGTTTGAGAGGCCCGTATGGAGGAGCTGACCTGCTATAAGCCAGATCGTCGTCGTTGCCGTCGTCGACTGGGAAACATAGAAATCACGTTTCAGCCATCAACGACGCAAATGCAACAATTTTGAAATGTGCCGGTTAAAGGCCGGCAGGAGGCGAGCGCGGGGCAGAGCCGAGGCAGGAGGGTCGCCCGTTCGAATTCTGCAATATTTCTTCATTGTATTGATTATCGGTTGTAATGTTGCAAATTAAATGCCTGTGCCTCAATTCGAACTTTAGCTGCGAAGCTGGAGTCGAAGTTGGAGTTGGCATTCAGTCAGCTAGCCGGCAATCAATCAAACAATCAAACGCAACTGGCCATCAATCCCGGCCAGGAACCGGCTGGCCATAGTCGCTGGCGCAGCCTGTATTTTCGAGACTTTTGTACATTTTTATGAGAAAACTTAACAGAAATTAAATTGCCCGAACATGCTCCAAGCTACGATTTGGAATTGGGATTGCCGATTACCGCGATACGACAAGGAATTTATGTGAAAATTAAACGGCCCCAAATGATTGCAGCTCTAAGGTTGCAGCACGGCCCAGCCAAATCTCGCAGAGCCATACAAATATGGCAGCAGATTAGCTGCAGCAGTTCTCAACTGGCGCTGCTGCTGACACCGTTTCCAGCCCCAAGAGGTTCTCCAAGATTTTGTCTAATCCCGGCCAGATCTGCGCCTGATAAAAACTAATTATGAATGGGAGTAAAAAAGGTAATTGAAAATGCAAACAACAGCTGGAAAATCGGCCAACAGACTGAGCTGAGCTGAGCTGAGCTGAGCTGCCATCTGGCAATTGCTGGTGAAACTCGGTTCAGCAATTAGCAGACTCGGTTGCAGTTGCAGTTGCATTCGACTTGCTAAACAGCACCAACAGCACCAACAGCAGCAGCAGCAGCCACAAACGAGATTTACTTAGTGGAGCATCAAGAAATGCTCATAATGAAGCACTTAAATGAATTTAATTGTGTGAACAACAGCAACGGCAACAGCAACGCCCGCTCCAAAGGAAGGCCCCATTCAGCTTTGCAAACAATACCCAACAAAATGAGTGCAAGCGCAATGATTAGGTACTTGAATGGGCAGCCATACATATAGAAGCACCTCTCTCTCTCCCTCTCCCTCTCTCCCACTGCCTCTCTCTCAGCGTTAGCTGTTGATTTGTTTGCCTGCCACGGCTGCAATTAAAGCCTGCGATGCATCGGGAAGCGAAATATTTCCACATTATTTGTAAAGATAAACATGCTGTAAGCTAAATACTTGGATGTAGTTACTCTTCCTTATCCATTTGTCGGAAGTCTATCTCATCTATACACTTTCAAATAACTCTTTACCTTCTGTTTTGTTGCTGTCAATTGTTGTTTGTATCTCAATTGGGAATAATTTAAGAAGAAAGTCTTTTGGATGCTCAGGCATACGCTTGAACTGATAGTGAATGGAAATAGAAACTTGTCTATTTTATATATCTGAATCACTGTTCAACATGAGAAAATCTCTTTTATAATCGGTCTTTTCTATACATGCATCTATCTCTGGATATATAGTTTTATGATATAGGTTCCAAGTTTGTCAAATATGTTCTTTTTATACCCTGAAGCCATCGAAAATGTGTGTAACAGGGCCGAAGGAGGCGTGACAGATCCCACGGAATTTACCATATATATTCTTGAGCATTGGTATGAGTCGACTTAGCACTGTCCATCTGTCTGTCAGTCCGTGCTTAATGAAGAAATTTGCATGACCATGCATTCAAATAGTGAAAAAAGAAGAGGTATATAATATATTAAGTATATAGAACTTACAACAAATATTGCTATATAAGTATTGGATTGGGTTTATTGGGTGTATTCTGAGTTGTGGGTGATTGTAGGCGATTGTCTTATCCTTCTAATTCATAAGGAGCTATATAAAATCGTGGCAGATCGGAATAGGCGATAGTTAGAGCCGAAAAACTTGAGAGCTTAACAACTGCTTCTTGAAATTAATATAAGATTCATAATTCATAATTGGAATTTTTGCATTTATATATTGTATATTCAAGAGCTCTCGATGTTCGCTAGAACACTTCGTGCACACACAGAACTGTAAATGATATGATGAAGCAGAAATATAGAATATGTATTTGATTATTTTTGACGCTCACATCGGACTGCAACATTTTTAATCGTGAGCTTAACACATCCGTCAAGAGTTTCAGATTTTCTTATCAGTTTTGTTAGAAATCAAATCAAAACGTGGACTCGACAAAATGTGCAAGACTTTTCCCAAACAAAAACATTTCATTTTGAATAGCTCAATGTAATGCGGGAATCG